CACATATAAAGCAAACTGCAAATTTTCTTTCTATAAAAACAAGCAAACTTTTAAATCCATATATCTGTGTACACATGCATTAATAAAGAGGAAACGTATAGAAGGATATAATTCAACCTTTTAACATGGCTTATCTGACATCAAATGAAGGCATTTAAAAATTTGTGCTGTGCTAGGTATGTTATCACTGGTGGCTGTTTCCTGAATTCTTGATCCCTCTTACCTATTTCCTTTTCACTAGGGGCCTGATCTGCTGAGAAGTTAAACTCCTTTTTTTTTTATTGTTTTATTATTCATATGTGCATACAAGGCTTGGGTCATTTCTCCCCCCTGCCCCCACCCCCTCCCTTACCACCCACTCCTGATGTGATCATTAGTCCTTGCTCAACTTTCTCTGGTTCATTCTCTGACACAGCTGATTAATGTGGGCACTGACCAGTCACTGAGCTGGAGAAATGTCCCTAAAGTGTCCAGGAGGCCTGAGGCTTTCCTGGTAAAGAGTTATGGTAAGTGGTGATTTTCACAAAATCAGGTGTTGAAGAGCAAAGGACCAGGAAGAGGCAGTCAGATGAAAAATGGGTCAAGTTGTTGGCAGTATCTATTGGCAAGCCAAATGCCAATTGCTGATCACCAATATCAAAGGAAGGAAAGACTCCATGAACATGATGATCTCCATTGTCCTGACAAAAATTTATTCTACAAAGTAACTGCAATACTAACATAGTATGTTCTTTTAGCAGACAGCTAGCATATTGTAGGTTCTCGATATCTATTAAAGAGCAGCAATCCTGCTTTGAGGAAAATAAGACCCAAGAACGAATTTGATGGGGGTTTGCATATGAAGAGAAGTCATTTAGGTATTCATAAGACTATACAAGCTGAACTATTTTAAGAGCCAGAAATTACACTTGAGAGACACAAAAACAGTTTTTAAAAACTGTTATTAGATAATCCAAAAATCAGTCAAATATACAGATTGTATATACTATGTATTAGTACACCATTAAGGGGACACTAAAACTTACCCTAATGTCTCTTATTTTCTCCCACCAAGACTTGCACATACCTACATCTTTATCTTACTATTTCACAAAACTCAGATATTTTTTAATATGTTCTTTGAAAGAAACTGATCATCTCATTTTAAGTTATTTTTCAGAAGACACAGATTCAGGTCAGGACCAGTGGCTCACACCTATAATCCCAGTTACTTAGAAGGGAGAGATTTGGATGATTGTGATTTGAGGCCAGTGGGGGCAAATGTTCATAAGACGCCACCTCAACCAATAAAAATTGGGTATAGAGGTCCACACCTATCATTTTAGCTAGATGGGAAGCATTAATAGGACTTCAGTCCAGGTTGGCCAAGGGATAAACATGAGACCCTGTCTCACAAATAACCAAAGAAAAAGGGATAGGGGAATGGCTCAAGTGGCAGAGCACCTGCCTAGCAAGTGCAAAGCCATGAGTTCAAACCCCAGTAACTGCAAAAACAAACAACAACAATGACAAAAAGCATATTGGTTCACTTATTCATTCAACAAACAGTTACTGAAGGTCAGCTATATACTAGGCACTGTTCCTTGCTCTGGGAATACAGCAGGAGCCAAAAAGAGGCCATAGTCTTTTCCCTCATGGAGCTAACATACTACTGGAGGGAAAAAAAACAATATAGAGGTGAAACAAACACCACAACATGTCAGAGGAAATCAGAACTACAGAAAAAACATTGAAGGCACAGAGAATGTCACTAGTGAAGAGAAGCTCATAATTTTAAACAGGATGTGATTAGGGAAAGTCTTGCTAAGGAGAAAAAATTGAAGCACAGAACTGAAAGAGGTGAGAGAGAAAGCCCTCTGAATATAAGGGAGAAGAGGGTTGTAGACTGAAGGGTTCAACATGTGCAAAGGCCCTGAATCAGGTGTTACCTCTCCAATGTCATCCCCCATTATTATGCCTCTCCTTCATCTTACTCCAACCATGTACTGACCTCCTTGCTTCTACTTGAATATTACAAATAACAGGGGAGTGAGGAGCCTGGGAGGTAGTGCACACAAGTATTAAGTACCTCAGAAGACACCTCAAACTCAAAGATAACTCATAATCACATGAATGAAAGGGACCTTGGCCAAACAAACATTCTGCTTGAGCAGCAATGTCCAACATGACCTTCTGCAAAGATGGAAATGTTATATCCATGCTGTTTGACAAGTAGCATTAATCACATAAAGCTATTGCATACTTGAAAAGTGGCTACCATGACTGAAAAACTGATATTTTAATTGCATTTTATTTTAATTAATGTAATTTTTTTTTCTAGTTGGGACTGAGGTTTGAACCCAGGGCTTCACACTTGCAAAGAAGGCACTCTGTCACACCTTCAGTCCATTTTGGTCTGGTTATTTTAGAGTTGAGATCTTTTAAACTATTTGCCCAGGCTGGCCTTGGACCTCAATCCTTCCAATCTCAGAATCCCAATTAGCTATATTATAGGCATGTGTCACCAGAACCTGGCTTAATGAATGGAACTTTAAACAGACAAATGTGGCTAGTATTTAGCATACTGGCCATCATAATTTTAGAGTAAAGACAGATTATGAGGACACAGAGATTTATCATTAATAGAGGTACTTAACTTATAAAGAAATATGCTTTAGGCTGGATGTAGTGCTGCAGGACTAATCCCACCTACATGGGCAGAGATACAAGGATCAGGATCCAAAGCCAGCCCCTATTCAAAATAAACTAAAGCAAAAAGGATTGTGGGGTGTGGCTCAAATGGTCCAGTGCTTGCCTAACAGGTGTAAGACCCTGAGTTCAAACTCTAGTACAGAGGGAGGGAAGAAGGGAGAGGGAGGGAGGAAAGAAGGGAGGGAGGAAAGAAGGGAGAGAGGGAGGGAGGAAGGAAGGAAGGAAGGAAGGAAGATACTTCACTTAATTTGCTAAAGTTCAAATTGGTCAAATGAGAATTCTGTGACTAAATGTGTCAATTGTGATAGCTTTACTTAATATAGCCAAACGTACTAACCATTATCTAACTTTTGGCTTTTACATAGAAAGCTACTTGCAATAGGCTTTCTCACTTTAGCTTTAGTGTTTCTCTGTGATTTTTTTTTTTAGTAACTGAAATATCAGATCAGACATTTTTTTAAATCTTTTTTTAAGTCAAGTTGTGTTTCCTGCTGGCAAGTTTTTTCTAGTCAATTTGTTTTCAGTTAACACGTTAATATGCAAATATAAAAATAAAAATAAAATATAATAAATAGGACATGGAATAGATTATACATTCATGTGTTATTAAATTCTAATGACACAGAGTCAAAGATTGATTAGTAAAATGGCTTAGGAGATTTCTTTTTTTGAAACTGGCATTCATATGGCTTTATTTCTCACAAAACTGGAAATAGTATACACTCATTATTTCAAGATACACAAAGTCAATCTTCAAAAACAATACTGAACTTTATAAAAATAGATGGGTTCTAAGAAAAACACACACACACATATATATATGAACTATACCAAAACACTACTATTAAAGCTATACAAGAAAACTACATGTTTTAGCATTTCTACAATTAAATCAACAACACCCAGAGACGATGAAAGCCAGTTAGGAAAAGATTTATTGCTTGTTAAACCTCAGTTTACAATTCAAAGGAGTTTTAAAATCTCTGAACTGTTATGAAGCTTTATGGGGTTTATAGTGAAGATGAAAACAGAAATAAAAAGATCTGACAAACAGAAAATGCCAAAGATATTTCCAGCATTATCAGCATGAATTTTTTCTCGCATCATTATTTTTTACCTTATACTTAACACAGCCGACTTTACTTCATCTCCCTGAAAACATAACTATGTTTTCTAGGATCTTGTTCAAAACATAAATGCTTCAGGGACAAAGATAAACAGAATATTATTTTTATAATATATATTTTTAAAACTAGAATGTAAACTCCATGAGGGTAGGATTTTTTTTGTGTGTGTGTGGTACTGGGGCTTGAACTCAGGACCTACACCTTGAGCCACTCCACCAGCCATTTTTGTGTTAGGTATTCTCGAGACAGGGTCTTGTGAACTATTTGCCTGGGCAGGCTTTAAACAGCAATCCTCCTGATCTCTGCCTCCTAGTCGCTAAGATTACAGGCATCAGCCACTGGCACCCAGCAAGAGTAGGAATTTTTGGTAAGTACTCTCAGTACCTAGACTAATGTCTGACATATAGTACATAATCAATTAATCTTTACTAAATTAGTAATTTTGACGAGAAGTTTTTTATTAAAATAAAGAATCCAAATTGTATTATGGCATTTGTGTAGAGTTCTATTTTAACATTGGTAACCTAGACCTGTTTTACTTATCAAACATTTCTGTTTAAATATCTATACATACCACAAAGAACTTTTTTAAGCTTCTTGGTAATTTACAAAATTAGTCAGTGTTTTTTACATTTATTATCTCTATGGATTATATGATCCTTTTCAATGCCAAGATTTATTTATTCTAATAATGACATAAAACTATAAAGGGAAAACCTAAAATTCATTGAAACAGAATGTTACGGAATGGAATAGTAAAACACTATGTTACTTAAACTACTACAGAAATAACTGCAAAATGACTGAGAGATGATCCTAGACTTTCCATGGTTTTTCAACATATTTCAAAGGGCACTGTGTAGTTCTCTGCTTAATCTTCCTTTATATTACTGTCAAACCCTTCACTTTTAAAATCAAATAAATTGAGATATTATAAAATAAGTTGCATTGTTTTTGAAATTTTATACTAAAAGAGCAAATTTAAATCAAAATCTAAAACACACTAGGATATACTGAGCTGGAATATTTGCTGAAATGCCATTTATTGCAAAAGTCTCAACTAACACTAAAGTTTAAGTTAGGTCTAAACTCAGGAAATTGACTTCATAATATTTCAGCATGTTTGTCTTTATAAGGTAGGTAGTTGTACTCAACAGAAAGAAAACATAAGCACTGACTTACAGTCAAATTTCGATCCCAGATCTGTATGCTTCCATTCTGGCAGGCAGCTGCTATGAGGCTTCCATCTCTACTATATGTACACGTAGTAGGAATGACTTTTTTACCCTGCACTGTCCGTGGTTTAAACACACTTTTCTGCTTCTTTGGATTTTCAACTTCCCATATCCTCACAGTCCTAAAGAAAAAGGGGATTTTATTTGTTAAAAAAAAAAAGAAAGAAAGAAAGGAGTTTTAAAATAGGGAAGAGTTTATAAACACCCTCTTGTCTTTTATTCCTCTGGGACGGGGAGGGGGGGGTTTGAACCCAGGACCTTGCACATGGTGGTAAGCACTCTACCATTTGAAGTACACCCCAGCCCTGCTTTGCCTTTTAAGCACATTAGTTTAAAAACATGCACTATAAAACATTCTCCATTTATAAATAAAGTTACCCATGAAAATAAAGTGAAACACCTGAGTTGTACTGTCATCAAATCAAAAAACAAAAGTCAAATTCTACTTCAAATCTATCAGTTATTTATTAGTTCATGTTCTCTAGGGCAATGGCCTACAAACTCTGCTGACTATACGCCATGATCAAACTACTGAATATATGTCTCCTAAAGAACATACATTAATTTATAAATTACTTACATGTGCTAATGTACTGCTCTATAACATAAACCAGAAAACACACTGAAAATAAGTCACTAAAAAAAGAAAGACATCCCCTCTAGGGCCTAGACAAAGATGTTCTGCCTCTGGGAGAGGCGTAGAAACACAACTCTGCCCCTGAACTTTCACTAAGCAACAAGTCACAGCAGTCTAGGCCTGGGGCAGGAGCAAAATACACTCTTTACTGACAGTCCAGAGAAAGGAGCACTGACACTGAAAAGCCTTATGATCCAGAGTGGGGAAAGAAAACATAAAATAATAACAATGTATTATGATGTATAGAATGTGTTTAAATAAAAGGTATGACAATAATAACACAAAGGTTGGAAAGGAGGAACGGAAGAGAGACTTTCATATGCTAAAAACATTCATTATAATTCCTAGCACATTCACTGACAAATTTTTAATAATGCATACATAACGGTGGAATAAAATGTAAACAAAATTTAATGTTATTGAAAGTAGGAAAACATAAGAAAGATAATGTGATAAACATAAAACGAATAGCAACATGTTAGATGTAAATCCAACCTCATCAATAACTGTATTAATTGGGAATGGCTCAAAACTCTAATTAAAAATGCAAAGATTATTAGATTGGATTAGATAAAAGCAAGACACAGGCAGATTTTGTTTTTACTTTATAGATTAGATAGAAAGACAGAAAGGAAGATAGATAGACAGGCAGTCAGTAAAAGGATGGAAATAAAGTACAAACTTTTAAAGCCCTAGCATGACCAAAGTTGACTTCCAGAATAAGAAATCTAAGCAGAGATGAAAGGAAATTTTAATAATAACTGACTCTACCAATTGTCCCTAATAGCAAGACTTCAAAATACAAAAGCAAATATAATAGAAATAAAAGATCAGGTAGCAAATCCATGCTTATAGCTATACATTTCAAGACTTCTCACTGAGTAACAGAAAAGTAGACTCTCCCCTTAAATATACAAAGGCCTGAAAAACACTCCCAACCAAATGCTAATTAAGTGCTAATTAACACTTACAGAACACTTCATTAGATAAGCGGATGAACATTCTTTTCAAGTGCATACTGAACATTCATCAAGACAGATTATATTCTGGGCCATAAACAAATCTAAACAAGTTAAAAATAGTCCAAATCAGACAAAGTATATAAACTATAAAAAATAAAATTAAATAAGCAATCAATAACAGAAATTTATCTGGAAGTGTGTCTTTTCCCAAATATTTAGAAATAAAGGAAAACATTTCTAAGTAATCCACAAATCAAGGAAAAAAATCATAAGAGATGTTAAAAAAATACTTTGAATCCAATAATTAAGAAAACACAACATACCAAAAGTTATGGTACTCAGCTAAGGCAGAGCATAAAAAGGAAGTATGGAACTAACTGTATAATATAGTAGGGGAAAGAAAATCAATTACTCAAGATTCAACTTTGTGAAACTAGGGACAAAGAGAAAGAAAAAAATTAAATACAAGGCAAGCAGTGAAAGGAAATAATAAAAATAAGAGTGCATATTAATCAAATGGAAAACAAATAAAAAATCTATTTTGGTACTGAGGATCGAACTCAGGGCCTCAGACTTGCTTATGCAAGTGCTCTACCATTTGAGCCATACCTCTAGTACTTTTGATTTTAATTTGTTTTTCAGGTAAGAGTCTCATGCTAACTTCGCCTGGGCTTCAAAGCATAATCCTTCTGTCTCCAACCTCCCAAATAGCTGGGATTACAGATGTGCATGACCAAACATGACCCAAAAGCTTTTTTGTTTTAGAGGTCAATAAAATTAATTGACTGAGATTGGTTATTTTAAAAGGAAATTGGATACATATATCCTGAATGAAAAATGGATTCACTATAGAGCTTAATGACATTAAAAGGATAATAGGGAATTTAATGAAGAACTTTATACAAGTAAGTTTGATTTTATATATATATATATATATATATATACACACACACACACACACACACACACACATAAAATGGAAACATTTCCTGGAAATACACAAACTACCAAAGTTCACTCAATAATAAATAAATTACTGAAATATTCTTATTTCAATATAATAAGCAAAGCATATCACTTAAAACCTTCCCACTAAGAAAATTCTATAAAACTTCACTGATGAATTCTACTAAATATTTATGGAAAAAAATATAGATTAAGATTCCCAATACTAAAATCTAAAATATTCCAAAATCTAAAACTTTTTGAGCACTAACATGATGCCACAAGTGGAAAATTCTATACCTCATATCCTGTGTTTTGTTTTGTGCACAAAATTATTTAAAATTTGTATAAAATTACTTTAAGATATGTGTTTGAGGTGTATATGAAACACAAACTTCCTGTTTAAATTTGATTTCCATCCACAAAATATTCCATTATAGATATGCAAAGTTTCCCAACTCCAAAAAAATCCCATTAGAAATACTTTTGGTTCCAACCATTTTTGATAAGGAATAGTCAACCTTTAGTAGAGAATAGAAAAACAAACTCCTAGAAAATGAAGAGGAAATATTTTCCAACTTATTCTAGAAAGCCAGCATTCTCTGATGCTAACATCAAAGTGGCTATAAGAAAACTGCAGACAAATATTCTCAATGAACAGACACACAAAAGTCCTTAACAAGACTCTAGCAAATTCAATGAACAGTGTACAAAAAGGATAATTTATCATGATTAAATTGTTATTTAGCCAGAAGTACAAAGAAAAACTGAAAAGATTGAAAATCAAAAAATACAACACATCATGTCAACAGACTACAAAAGAAAAATATGTACAATCACCTCAACTGATAGAAAAATAAATAAGCATTTGAAAAATTCCAATATCCATTCATGATAAAAAAAAAATTCTCAGCTAGAAAGAGAATAGAACTTCCTGAACCTAACGGAGGACAACTACAAAAAAAACCCTACAGGTTAAAACCTAAATGCTTTCTCCTGTGCTTGAGAACAAAGCAATGAAGTCAGCATTCATCATTTCTGTATATTTATTGCCAGCTAATGCAATAAAGCAAATGAAATGCCTACAGATTGAAAAGGAAAAATAAAATTATCTTTATTAAAAGACCACAAAATCATCTATATAAAAAATCCCAAGAAAGAACAAAAATGATTCTTGAAATAGTGAGTTTAGCAAGGTCACAGGGTACAAAGTCAGTAATCATAAATCAATTTTATTTCTATATTATCATGAAAGTAAAACTACTCATAACAGCATGAATAAATGTGCAATCTGACAAAATACAGTGTGTAGTACTTATAAACAGAAAATGAGAAGCCACTTCTGAGAGAAATGAAAGGAGACAACCACAAATGAGAAGATGTACTGTATTCATGGATTGGAAGAGATAATGTTACTAAGGTTGCTTTTCTCCCTAAACTGATCTTTAGATTCAAAGTCATCTACATCAAATTCAGGCAGGGTTTCAAGGGGCAGAAATTGGATAAACTAGTTTTAAAACATACAGAAATCCAAACAACTTGGGAGAACCTAAATAACTTTGAAGAAGAACAAAACTAGAGAACTTGCCCCAGGTAGTATGACTTATAATTACACATATAAACATCTAGTCATTTTACAAAAAGATGTCCTTGACAGCAACAGTTCTGGTTTTACTTGTTTTAGTCCTTGTATGCCTATGAATTGTACCTTGTATCTCTCAAACACTAAATGTATGTTGCATGAATGAGTAAAATAATTGTACTTCCCACATATGCATTTTGAGATATTATCTATAGACAAATGAAATGGAATTGATTTTTAAATGCATAAGATTTCAAATAACATTTTATCTGAGGCTGTCAAATATTTGTGATTTATTCTAAATTACGTCTTTTTGATTGTATTTTAAAATAACTTTTTTATGTCTTCCCCTAAACTTTACTCTGGAACTTCATCAATAGCTTAACATTACCAAAGCTCACTTATCAGAGTTATCAACCCCAGTTTTGGACCTTACCTTTATACTTGTAATCCCAGAATTTGGAAGGCTAAGGCAAGAGGATTGTGAGTTTTAGACCAGTTGGCCTACATAGTGAGATCCCACCTGAATAAAAAAGTTGTAACTAAATAAATTTTAGAACTAGCAATGAACAAAATGTGAGCTCAAATAAGGGTTTGAAAACAGTGCACAGGAGAAACAGAAAGGCAAAACAGAATTCCAGGATTTAAAAGAACCTGATGGTTGTTTTATATCTCACTACTCCATTCCATTTTGTTGCTGAATAAAATTTTACTGTATGGAGGATCACATTTTGTTTATCCATTCACCAAATGAAGGCTTTCAAGTTATTTCTAGTTTGGGGTTATCTGGTTACACAAACAGCACATGTTTAACTTTATAAGAGACTATTTTCTAAAGTGGCTATTTCATTTTGCACTCCCACCAACGATGCCTGAACATTCTAATTGCTCCACATCCTCATCAACACACGGAATCACCAGATGTTTGTAAAGCCATTCCAATAGGTGTATAGTAGTAGTGTACTGTGATATTAACTTCCAAAATGACCAGTAACATTCATGATTTTTCCACATATTATTTCTCTTTTTGGTGAAGCATGTGTTCAAAGCTTCTGGCTACTTTGCATGCTTAGTTATTTCTTTTGCTTTTACTGAATTTTGATAGCTGTTTATTCTAGATACAAATTAGTTTTTCTTTTCTTTTTTGACAGTGCTGGGGATTGAACCAGGGCCTTGGTACATGCTAGGTAAGTTCTCTACACTTGAGCTATATCCCCTAGAACTGGACACAAGTAGTTTTTTTATTGTTTTATTATTCATATGTGTATATGAATAATAAAACAATTCATTGGGTCATTTCTCCCCCCTGCCCCCACCCCCTCCCTTACCACCCACTCTGCCCCCTCCCTCTCCCCCACCCCCTCAATACCCAGCAGAAATTATTTTGCCCTTATCTCTAGTTTTGTTGAAGAGAGAGTATAAGCGATAATAGGAAGGAACAAGGGTTTTTGCTGGTTGAGATAAGGATAGCTATACAGGGAGTTGACTCACATTGATTTCCTGTGCGTGGGTGTTACCTTCTAGGTTAATTCTTTCTGATCTAACCTTTTCTCTAGTCCCTGGTCCCCTTTTCCTATTGGCCTCAGTTGCTTTTAAGGTATCTGCTTTAGTTTCTCTGCGTGAAGGGCAACAAATGCTAGCTAATTTTTTAGGTGTCTTACCTATCCTCACCCCTCCCTTGTGTGTTCTCGCTTTTATCATGTGCTCAAAGTCCAATCCCCTTGTTGAACACAAGTTCTTGATGAGTTATGTGTTTGGCAAATATTTTCCAAGTCTATAAGTTGCCCTTTCTTTTTTGAAGGTTTGAATTTAGGTTCAAAGGTTTAGGTTTGGAGGGATTTTTTTTAGGGTTTGAATTTAGGCCCTGTACTTGTTAGTCAAGCACTCTACCACTTGAGCCACACATGTCCAGCCTTTTATTCTTTAGTTTATTTTTCAGCTGGCACCTTGCATTTTCACCCCGGTCAGCCCTGGAAAACAATCCTCCTAGTTCCACTTCCCACCTACCTTGGTTTACAGACATGCACTGCCACATCCAGCCGGTCTCTTCATTCTTTAAGGCAGACTTTCTAATAGCAGATATTTTAAATTTTGATATAGTCTAATTTATCAATACTTTTTGGCTTCAAATCTAAGAAATCTTTACCTAATTCAAGGTCATAGAAATTCCTCTGATTTCCCCTACAAGTTTTATAAACACATCTATAATGTATTTGAATTAGTTTTTGTACATAGTGCAAGGTATGAGTCAAGGTTGATTTTTGGCATATAATATTCAATTGTTATAGCACTATTTGTATCTGAACATTATATAGACTTCTCCCCTACTAAATGCATTCTGTACTGCTTACTTGTTTGTTTTTGTTTTTTTAATATCTGTTCATTCCAGAGTTAGCAAATACAACCCAGCTGTCTAGGAGGCAAAGATTGGGAAGATCGCAGTTAAGGCCAGCCCAGGCAAAAAGTTAGTGAGATGTCATCTCAACCAAAAAGCCAAATGTGATAGCGTGTGCCTGTTTTATACCGACTATGAGG